GTCTTGCACTACGACCCTCCCTCCTAGAATCAGGATCTTTGTACGCCCCCCTAACTTTGATTTGCTCCGCAACTATTTCCGTTACACATTCACCGGCAGTTGCCATATTATCACTGGGTTAGATTTGCTGGAGAGCCCCTGAAAACCACAGAAATCTACACCCTCGTTGAAAAGGTACTATGCCCCCATTACACAACCTTTCAAATAGTATGTGGTAGGATTGGATAGAGCTGGGCTTCTTGTTACCAAGCAGTGTTTAAATTCGAGGACGCTGAAATTTTCATGCGAGTTTTTGCCACTTGAAAGGCAGTACTCTAATTTTGTGAGAACTCGAAAAAAGAAAGACAGTTTTGAGAAGCAGAAGCATTGCGCTTTCTGACTGTATATTGAGCTTCGTTCCAAACTTCTTAGTTGAGGGGACTCGTCGAGGATCTATCGAGGACGATTTTTGATCACTCTAAAGTTGCTTCATTCTCCACCATTGCAAGTAAATCGTTGGCAACTCTCAAAATGCGTCAAGAATACATCCCTCCACCGCGAGCGACAAGAAAAGGGGCCGTCATGATCCGATTTAGTCTCAGCATGGGTCATGCATTCGACCTCCATTCAAAGTTGTGGGATCGATTGAAAGATGCTATATGATGATCCTTTCAACAGTAACTGTCTTGTAGTACCCACATTTCGTAACTCCTATAACTTTCCGAACAGCTTTGTTTGCACAGGGCCTTTCCTTGACTATTGTCGTTTTTGTGACAGCTTCCCTAACAACAGTGTCATTCTCAACCAGGTATTAAGGGCGAGGGAGCGAGGGGTGGATAGAGGGCACATGTGGCACGTGTGGCACCGTTCCTTGCAGAGAAGCACATTCACTCTTTGTACTGCTTTTGCATACGTCCTTCTCATAAAGGTAGAAGAATGGAGCGAATGGATCTGCAAAGAATATTTCATATCAAGTTTTCTCACAGATCTTCGTTATCGGCTGCGCTACCCCTCTCACACCTATCTGCAGCATGATGCCACTGACCTCCACGAGCGATCCCATGACCCACCCTAACAAATACGATCCCCTGTCGAGGATTTCTTTGACCGATATTTACCCTGACTTCGAGACACGTAAATAGCCTCTCATCGATATACATTTCGGCACCAGCTATCTATCACGAAAAAATTGTATGACTCAATTCAGTACTTAGTACAGTAATTGTATTCAGATGCTCGGAACCGTGCTACAGATATGCCAACCTGTCCTATTAGGTGCCAGGTTGTTCCCCCGCCAACCGCCGGGACCTTGTTTCACAGCGTACCCTCCACGGCCTAAAATGACCTACCAAAACCTAATTGCATCCTAGGCTTGTTGGGGAATGGTTTTACCCTCCTCAAACATCCTATATTTATATAGCCGTTAGGGTGTTATCACAATCATGCCATTGCAAAACATTGATAGCACAAGTCCTGCGAGCTACATGATTCTGTAGCGGTTGTTGATTCCATTAGCTGTCTTATCACTCACTTCATTTTGCGGACGGACAGACATGCAGACATACATACAAACCGACGCACCAAGTTAGCAGTTTATAAAATAGAAGTATTTCTTTTTCAGAATGGAGCGTTAAAGACAACACGCCAAAGAAAGCGTGGGGTACTGTAATTTTTCGCGATACGCAATTGCACGGGCAGCGCAGTGGTTTCACTAGCATCGTGGGAAACGCGCCTCACTGTTGGCATTGGTGCATCCATTTCTATCGTGCGCTGTTCATCGTGTTCAATTCATACTTGACATGTACACATCATTCAGTACAACTTGCAGTTAATGATTTGCATTTCTCGTGCGTAACTCGGGACTTCGGGGACCAGTTCAAAATTCCCGGTCCATCCTTACGCACATCCAAGGTCGTTAAATCAACACCGAAAAAGCCCGGAACGAGTTTTTCGTCGAGTTTCCGCGATACTACTTGAATTTTATGCTGGCATCATGAAAAAGAACGACTTACGATCGCCTAGGTTCCACCGTAATCACGTTGTACTTAAAGGAATCTTGCGCGGAAAAATCATGATTCTATTTCAACCATAATTCACTGGCTTGAGACCTATTATACACGACAGTAGTGAAAAGACTTTAAGCTATTCTTTCGTTCTGATTTAGAATTCGAAACTCGAAGGCTGCTACGCGTTCGTAATTGCCCACGACGTCTTTCCGAACTCGGCGACGGGGATGCCTCAACTGGGTCTTTTGAGATGCATCACTAGAAGCTCTTTCTGGCCTATCTCCTTCGTTGCATTCACTTTACACACTTGCCATCTCAGCCATCTATTCCATTCGATCGATTTGTCCCCACTGCTCCGAAATCCGCGCCCATTAAGCCGAGTCTTATGTCGTCGTCCTTGAACGGTGAGCGGCCACACTCCTCTCTTTCCCAGCCTCGCCTTCTCTGGTGGCTCCTGGTCTTCGATGTACCAATACTTATTTTGTACGTTTGTTTCTCTTCAGAAACCGAATCTTCATGCGTGAAACTTTGTGTGCTATTTCCAGTGATCACGACTGACATATTCATGTTAGGAAAGAGTGCAAGAATTTTCCGCGCAAGATTCCTTTAAGCGCGCTGTTGGATATTAGAGCGCGATGCTCAATCGGGTACAGACGGCTTTGAATCGAGAGTAGTTGAATTGAATTAGAGATCGAGAGAGTAGTAGTAGAGAATTGTTGGAGCGATTCAACACTTAGTTCGATGACCACCCCGGGGCGTCCCCCCCCCCCAGCGTCAACCTCAGCGCGATGGCGGAGGAGTATGGTTCCTCCTGCAAACCGCGCTTCCTTGGGGCTGAATTCCTTGCTGCCATGCTCGACATTTTACAGAGATGGCGCTCCCTACGGTTAACGGCCATGTTCTCGTCGTGGCTCTCGTCGTGGAAAGAGAGAAAACGACAGAGGGTGCATCGAAAGCAAATCGATAACATGAGACACTGCACTCCCTACAGCGAATGTGGTTACGGCGGATACTGCGGGCCATACTGAGAAATCGTTTCTGTGTTTCATGATGGTGGGTGTGATTCTCTCGAATATGTTAGCGCTGTCAAACTCAACCAGCTTACCATTTCAAAAAGTATGATCGCTAGGACGAGTGGTAAGACTCATAACAGAGGAAGCGAAGCTTTCGTAAACTCCTGCGAAGTCAAATTGCATGAAATAAAAGCTTGGAATGAACGCTGATCAATCGCTATAACAACAAATGAATGATAAAAATGAGAGGGTGACATAGGATAGCGCTCTCACCAAAATGAGCGTATTTGTAGCGATAGCACTGTCGCTTACGGTGGCGAAGCAAATCACAAGTTTAGTAACAATGAGTCGAATTCAATCGCAGAGGTCACAATCAAAGATAAAAATCTTATTTTTTCGAAAAATTTGTATAACTTTTTGGAACCCTTCAACTTCATTAGGGTGGAGGTGTGAATGATAGGAAGAGTACCGGTTATAACGTATGTGGCTTAAATACATGAAGCTTGTGTGTGTGACGGAATAGACGCTCTGTGTTCTTTTCATGATGCATCTATTAAGAGCATGCATATGTGTTAGAAGAAATGAGAATGATGATGAATCAATACTCAGGTAGCTCAGTCATCTCTTATATTTATTGTCACGAACATTACAATCTTAATCCTCCGTCCTGGGCGCCACATCCCATCAATCACGATTCTGAATATTGGCAGTCATTGGAAGAATACCGTATATGAGGAATCACGGAGCAGCAACGAATTCTCACTTTAGATTTTTTACGAGGTCACTGTCCCTCTCTCTCTTACAGGTGGGATTTACGCTAATCTTTCCAACTATGAGTGCCTTCCACTGCATACCACCACTGAAGAAGCATCCATGCGGAAAGTTAGCTTCTTATTGTAACTTTCCGTAGCTTATGAGAGCATGGCTTTGACGATTAGAATTAATGTGCTTTGCTCCCGCAGTGAGCTGACAAGTGTGATAAAGTAAACTCCCTCAAACGTGTCATCTATGCACAATACAATACCAATCAGGGTCAACCCTTTGTTGCTACAAGTGGCAACGGGGGATGGTCGTATTTTGGTGAGTTTGTAGGGGGGTCGTACTTGCTCCGGTTGTAAGAAGTGGCAGGTGATGAGAGGGGAGGCGGCGCGGGAGAAAATTTGCCGTTTCAGCGCGCGTATACCCCCCCCCCCCTAGAAAATGGAGCAGTTGAAATATGGGTGAAAGTTAGGGAACTATAGGGAAATCGCAAGGAAATGTAGGGAATTTTTGCGGTTTTAAAGGAAGAAAGGAAGGATATACCCCCCCCGCTCGACGGTAATTTTTTGGGGTAAAAATTAGTTGGAAAGGGGGGGGGGGTCGTAGGAAACTTTTCCTGAAGGAGGAGGTCGGCCATCGCTTGTGCTTTTTGCAAGCGATAGCGCAATCGCTTACCAAACGCTCTTCGTTGAGCGTTGAACAAGCATGTAGCGATCGCGATCGCTCCATCGCTTGGTCCGTCGCCGACTATGATGTCGGTCTAAGTGTGCGCGCACGCCAAGAATGCATCATCTTTAACGGGCAAATTGGGTTAGGGGAGTGGGTGGGCTAAAGTTACGTTCTTGTCCAACCTTTAACAAAACCGGGGCCGTGGATTTCACGGCACCGATGTTCCGCAATTTTGCGATTGCTAAAACCTTCCTCGACTGAAGAACCTACTCTGTAAGTATACACTCCAAATAATGTTGCAGTACCAAATTGAAGTAAGTACAATGGAGATATTCCATATAACAGAAGAGCAAACCCAACGACAGTCTAAGGAAACCATTGCTACCTAGTATCAAAGCCTTCCTTTTTACCTGCCTCGCACGGGCGCTTGTCAATCGGAGAAGAGAGTCATTACGGTACCGCATCCAGTCGTGGAACTTCAAATCTTCCAATTCCCTGGATCATAACACGATCATGCGTGACATATCTCGTGAGCTATTGTGTTTCTATATGAGTGATAAATTTGTCAATATTTTCATGCAAAAAAATGTGAAACGAGTGATGCAATATCGGCATTTGCTAATGCGTTCTCTGCTGTTAGAATATCCGAGTTGATGGCAGCTCGCAGTTCCTCTGAAACAATTCCTAGTGAACATGTGCGTTATTTCAGCCAAACGAACTACGCACACCCACCTATATTAGCAAAGGCGGACATTGGACGTATAAAACCCATCAGTAGAACTTCCATCACAGAGCCGTAAAAATCTTGGTCAAAGTTGTCGAGCAGATGTACTTCCTTAAATTGATAAAATTAAAACTTCTGAAGAAAAGAGAGTAAGTCCTGCTAAGCACGGATTTCTTATAAAACTACGGCTACTATCTTGCTTCCAACTCTCCCGTAGGACATTAGAAACAGGTACGTAGATCTCTCAACACTCCAATCAGTCCGTACACCCATCCTGTGATGTTGTCTCTTTTGACTTTTCTGAAGTTGTATGTTAATGTACTGGAGAAGGGAAAGCTAAAACTGCGTATAGAAATAAATGTCACCGTATCTGACCAGAGGCTAATAAAAGGGCCGCAAGTTTCGCATTTAAAGCCGTAAGCGCAGAGAAGAAAACAAAAAATATACATTCCTACTTCGTTGAGACAGTTCATACATTGAACAGCAGTAGAGCTACCAGATTATGTAGCCTTTTCACAAAAGTTAGTAGAAATACACCGGATTCTTATATGGTATGGTTATTCTTAGGTCTATGATAGCAGTTGAGGTTGTACTTGTAGGTACAGCGCAGGTTTTTGGCATTATTTCTGCTAAATATAGAGCGCTATGTCTGCCTGTTTGTGTGTGCCACGCATAAAACAGCACACAGTAATGGTGGGACGTTAGTTTTCACATTTGATAAAGGGGATTACGGAAGCACATATGGTAGGTGACCGGAAGTGATAAAAACTGAAAACGGCTGATATGGAGGTTATAAGGTAGTGCTACCTCCGTTGGACCCTTCGCGGTAGCAGTGGGACGTTGACTCTCAAAAGCACTAAGAGGAGTCGTACAAGAACCCAGATGAGGGGTGATCCGAAGTGATGGCAACTGATGAGAACTGAAAATGAGGGTCAGAACAATATCGCATTAATAATTTTGTCGGGGACTAGTTCTCACGAGTGGCATAGACGGTAAAAAGGGAACACAGATGAGGAATGAATGAAAGTAATATCGTATGGTAGTGGCCGCTAGGGGCACTAGAACATGAATCTTATCGAATTCGCAGCTTCTGTTGCAGTGACAGTGGAGTGAGGGCTCTAACAAGTAATAGGAGGACTCAGACAGGGGAATAGATGGAGGGATGAAAGGGTATAGTGGCCGATGAGAGCTGATAAGTGAAGCAAGAATGCCAGCACAATCAATTCCGTAGCGCCCTTCATGGTGGCAGCTTTACGTAAGTTCTTCCATGTGGTATGAGGGATCGGTCGGGCGCACAGATGGAGGGCGATAAGAAGTGAAAAATTTTCATAGAGCCGCTAACTGGTGTCTGAATGCGATTGTCTTCAGCTCTGCTGCGTTCTTTGCCGCTATGATGCAGCGCTCCCATCAGCAAGTGATTATCCCTTTGACTACTGTTGGTAACATGAGTACCATTCCGCAGTCAATGGCACTATCATATTGGGTTGGTGCATATCGTAACGCTCGCATTCGGCAAAAACGTTAAAAGCAAAACCAAAAAGCAAGGCCAAGCATAAAACTAATCAGTGATGTTCTTCTCGTCATTATATACGACTTTGATCCCATTTCGCAAAAGACTGCCGGGTCCAGAATTTGAAAAAAGCTACTGACGATGAGCCCGTTTTCACAGTCCTCATCATTCTCAATATGTACGACGTAAGCATGATTTGTGATTGAGGGTCGATCGGAGTAAATATCGATGATGACGATAGATCCCAAAAAACTCTCACTTTGGCAGCTTTTTCCTTTATTTAGATTTTTGCCCACCCTGAGTTTCCAACTTGTAAGCACCATATCTGAATACATTTACAATATAGAAGAAAATAATAAACAAGGTTTTGCAGAGCGGAAGAAACTTTCAAATGATATATGTGATTTGTTGGTAGTACATGCTTGTATTCACCGAGTTTGTAGCTCGAGAAAAAAACGCTACGTTATCATGCATCAACCCAATAGTTGTGAAACTTATTGAGACAGGAGCGCCCGTTCGTGGCGGAATTGCGCCGAAAGTTTATTACTTCAACAATAATTCGTCACAAGTAAAAGCAAGTTATCTTGTGTGATTTAAACCTTTGACTGCTTCAGGTACACATGTGTACCACCCGTAGCCAAAGGGTACTCGCAGCTGTAGCCAAGGGGTACTACCACAATTTTGAAACTTCTTGGACACTGGCGCACTTTGAAGGGCGAACTGGACACAAGTGAAAACTTTCCAATCCTAACTCTGCAAACTAATCGCCAAACGTAAAGGGAGCCAACCCAGAGAGGTCATCAAAGCAAGCCTTAGCTCAAATCACTGGTCAGTGTATGTAATTTTCAGATGGTACAATTTGAAAAAATTGCCAAAACAGGTAATTTCGAATATTCTCAATGTTTGTGCTCGTACATTGCAAAATGTGTTTTCGTAGATGGTAGTCAAACTGATAACAGGTATTACGAAATTTTCTATCCGGGTGGGTATGGTGTTATGACAAGAACCCGTCTGCGTTTTGGTTGACATTCATGCCTCCATAGATGCGGCTATTTTCGAAATACTCGTCCAAATGCCCCTCTCTCATCTCGAAAAACATTATGGTCACATCCCGTACAAATATATACAGTACCTCCCATAACTTTGTTAAAAAAGACGCGGAAGACGCGGATCCGCGTCTTTTTAGTCTTTTTGCTATAATTTGATTTCTGATCGCTTTACGACATGAAAAACTATACCATTAGACTCAGCTCGTCGAGTGCTATTAGAATGTCCTCTCAGATTTCAGAAAATTTCATTTTTCTATTCCAAAGTACCTGAGGCTACTCATTAGCGAGCGTCGCTCGCTATAATTACAGCCAGAGACAAACAGCTTCCACTAGTATTCAGCAAGCCTTTTCGCTTCTTTTTTGTTTTGGAATAGTATGAAAAAAGTGACTAACGTGTTCTTCAAGTGATGCTGATCATTTTGATACCTGATGTTCCCTATTTAGATTAACTTTGTTGAAATCCATTTTTGGAACGAAGTTGCATCTTTGAAGTAAAAAATAAGGAGAATGGGCCAAACCATGACATCACCTGAATAGTGTAGTTCTTCTAATCAACCTGCCCTGCTCACAGTAAGCTTTTCAAGTTCCTTTCTTCCACCAGCTGTCAATTTCAGGCCCTTGTTTGAGAGAATTTTCACCTTTTTTCATCGAAAGGAAACCTCCCAAAAGTTATATCATTAGAATACTCATCGAAAACACTATGTAATGATATAAAGGGTGAGTCAGGAATTTTCTCATTATTACTTCAAATTTTGGCATTGCCTGCCTTCTCCTCCCGCGAACACTCGACCGGCGAGCTAATTAGCCGTGTCACTGTGGCCGATGACCTAAGCATTTTACACAACAATTGCCGTAGGACCTTTCACATCCCAACGGACGCCCAACAGTCCGCTATACATAGCACTATTTGGAGGACACCATGAGAGCCCAAAAATAGAGTTCATAAAAATTATCCAGATTTTCAGAAGGACTGGATGTGAATGGATCCATTCACAACAGAATATGGAGGAGAACATACATTCACACTGACAGCCCTGTTCAGCAACCCCATCAGGTGGACCCACGCCCGCTACAAGTGGAGGTTTATGGCCCGTTTGGAGGCTTATAGATGCCGTAGTGCGACCCTGTGGTCTCATATTCGACCAGCTTGCTGCATAAGTACTGTTCCTGAAGGTCAAAAACTGTTGTTGCAAAACTGTGGCACAAATTTGATCACGCCCTAATAAGTTTCAATAGGGTCCTCGAACCTCTGTTTCAGTGGTGTGTAATGCCGTGCTTGTTGGGCCGGAACTGAACAGAATTCAGTCAGAAAACGAAGAAAAAGTGACCAGGGTCAACCGTCAGGTCAGCCTTTTACAAAAATCCTACGAATCCCTCGCCCTTTAGTGGAGTCTCAATGCGACCCCCTTCCCACCACCATCATCAATCTTTGAAGGCTTCCCAGTACGATCTCTCTCATCATGGCTGTTTCTAGAGTTTTTGATTCTGAGACCAGTCCACAAAGTCTGAGAAAGGCCCGGGAGGAGAGGGGGGAGGGAGTCGGGTATCATGAAGCGACCCATCTACCACTTCTGCCCATTTCTCTCTATCCCCTTCCCGAAATCGCAAATGCGGCCTCCCGTTCAAATGACGAGCGGACGGTTGACCTTAAGTGTGACTAAATCAAAATTCTCTAGAGCAGTGGTACAATCTGACTGCTAATGATAGCAAAGTAAGAGGGTTGAGGCCGGCGCAACCAATGATTCCTCGTTGGTGCAGAAGCTTCGATACAAGCTTCAAAGGCAGCAGACACTTTGGCCAGCTAAGTTCTGTAGAGACTCATTATCAAAGAATTCAACGCATCACCCTACGGTCACCCTCTTCACAGAACAGCTTTCAAATATACTGTGAGCAGTATGTTCCAGGACGCAAAAAGCCACTTGTTGCAGTACGTTTCGAAGAACCGTGGTAGGGCGATTTAGAAGAAATTGGCCGAGCTGGAATGAGAACTTGTTCCCTTGCACTTCATGCGTACCTGGAGCCGTGCGACTACAAAATCGTAGGTAGCTCGAATCAGCCATCCATCAAAAAGCACTTCCACAAAAGGAAAACTTTGATGTTGTCAGCAGTTAGTAGCTTCGTCAGCTCGCAATCGCTCACTTTTTGCTGCAATGGGAGTCAAAAAACTGTCCAGTACGGAAGAAGTTTGAATACAACAATACAAAGGCGTCACACTAACTTCGTTCAGAAGGCTTTTTAAATAAAGAAAGAACAAAGTTAGTGAAAATTTCTCGATTAGACCTGTTAAATTGACCTTGCAATCAGATTATTCTTCTATTTATAAGAAACCCGGGCGCAGATTCTCTAAAATCGCAAGGTTTTTTGTCAAGGTTGCAGCTTTGCCAGTGCCACGCATAAAATCCATGAAATGGCCGTTAAAGAGGCACCAAAATACAGTGTGAGGATAATGAGGTCGCGAGCATTTCCAATTGACTCGCAAACGATGGTGAATGGTACGCAACTGA